CTGCATGATAAACGATCATAATGTGGTTTGCGCTAGTTATGCAGACAGATATAAGTAGCTTGTGACAGGAATAGGAATTCGAATACTTACCAGCAGAAGATTGAAATAAAAAGGATAGAAAAGAAAACTGGATCAAAAAATAATGAAGCATGTAAAGGATAATGAAAGGAGGATATGCAAATAATGTACTTACTGTATGATTTTCATGATTTACACAGGCACTGTTTGATTTTCCATTAAATCATAAATTAGTTATTTCCAATTAAGTCTTCGTTCACTACAATAATAACTATTTGAATATTTTCTAATCAAAGTTACATATTATTTCGTTTATAATGTTCATCTAGTAATTTTGGGTCAGCTGAATATCAGTATGATATTTACCTTATTATTTCTCATAAAATGTCGGCATTTTAATTGACTGCTAAGTGAAAAAAAATACCATAGTTTAACATTTGATGTTGAATAAGTGGGTTTAGTTTATTATTTAGCAAATCAATCACATATCTCATTCAATATACTTTCTATTAGTCAATAAGCAGATAACTTCGAATGGATCAGGTTTTTCCTGAAGCTATTTTGAATTAGGCCCCCAAATGCCCTGGTACGGCCGAGAGTGGGGAGAGTCCGCTCTCCCTCTCGAAATACTCTCACACGGCCACGCGTATATAGCCTCTGCCAGGGAAGTCCTACTCACTGCCTTCTCGTGGCGGGGGTGTTGTTTACGAAAATGAGAGGACGAAAAGCGAATGTCCGGCGCTTTAACCGGATTCCAAAACAATGGTGCACATGGGCTCCAGTATCCTGCGGGAACAAATGGCGAATGAACCAATTGTTGGTCACCGGCTTCCATGGGACTGCATCTCCTTACGATGCTCCACTGCCTTGTGGATCAGACCTTTGGGTTGAAGGCTCGGGGTGTGGCCCCCTAAGATAACCACCTGCTTCGGTTTGGGCACCCGGGCAGTATCACAGCCCTCACACATATCGGATGAGATTTGTGTGGCGCATATGTATTTGGTGCCTCTTTGTACCATTATCTATGTGTTGAAATAAATAAATAATAAAATAATTTTGAATTAGACAAATAACACTTAATACGTATTAGACTGCTTAGTTTCATACTTAAATTTTCTCACATAACTACTTGTGATAATTAACCGGTTATATGGACTTTGAATTACTACCATCAAAGATACATTGCCAAATTGATCTACCACTACTTATTTCGCATTGATTTTATAGTTAGAGATAGATGATGGCTTGAAGTTGTATCCAGGGTGCGCGTTTCGTCCTGCTTCGGACTCGTCAGCTGAATGCACCTGTGCTCCAAAGGTAATGTTCTTTCAGGGACTCGAAACGAGTGGCGTTCGCTTCAAACAACTTAACGTTATCCACTTAGCTACTGAGTCCAGATGGTCACTAGCTTATGCATTGGAGTGAAGTTTAATTCATTTGTATTGGTCGTTTAGATCTTCCCATTTATAATTAAAACTGCAATAGAAGCAATCCTCTCAGAGTACATATATACACTCTTAAGCATCAATGAGAAGATTCAAACAACCATTACATATGGATTTCATAGTTAATTTAAAAACCTATATATTATTGTACAGACTTGACGCAGTGATTGAAACGAAACATTTCTTCTCCTAATTTATAGTTTTAGTGTCTTAATGAGAATATTTGATAAAATATAGGAGAAAAATTGTGATACTCAAACAGATATCTAATATTTAGAGATATGGATTTAGTTATTATTTTTAGAAGCCTGTTGTGATTTATTTGAATTTAATCCTACGAAACGTGTGTCGTTTAGTGGATTTATCGATGTTGACATTACACATTTTGTTTTAGAGTAATATCTTCACAGGTACAAAAATTTCATGTATTAATAATAATTACTTGATTTCCCATTAACTTTGTGAAATGATGAACTAACGGTTAACGCATTTGGTTTCAATTAATAAGTTAGGGATTCATACCACTTCTCTCTCTTTAGTTACTTCTGCTTGAACAGTATTATGATTGTCACACTGTTACCCTTCACGTGAGCAACATGGCTTCTGAGCGCAGTAAATAGATTTGTACTTAGTAAATAATTTACCTTGGTATATTTTAAGTGTTTGTGTCAGCATTCAGTGGTTCTCCTATCAATGTATGTCCTAAAATTTGATTCTTTGAGATTTATTTTGAGTACACGTATTACATTTGATATATGCATTAGAGTTACTTGTTGGGTAAATTTTCTAAATTATTAGTTAACTGATTGCGTATTCTACCTACTATTTATACAAATAAGATTAATCAAAATAGGAGACGAAGTGAACAAAAACACCACCTGATAGAATAGGTAACGTGATTTCATTCATCAGCTGATTTCAGTTCATCGGGAGTTTTCACGTTCTGAACCTTAATATTTGATTTTTTTAAACCTTATCAGTTACATCATATTTGTTAATAGGTGAACTGAAGCACACAGTGTTTCTCGTAATTTTCCAATATGAGGTTTGCAGGTTAAATGTTTTCAGGATCACGAACTAATCTAAGTTAGATAACCATTGAAAACCTAACGGTACTGGACGGCCATCTTATCTTCGGTTGAGACTCCTCAGTAGTGCTCAGCTACAATTCCACAAGCGGGAATCGAACCCAGGACCTCCGGTTCCAAGCAAACGTTCACGCTCTAGACTTACTGAGCTAAAATCAAATGGTGTAAAAGCCTAACTTCAGTCAATCCACGATATTGTATGGTCATCTTTCGTTGCGTTTGGTGAGTGCTTCCTTGATTAGTTAGAATACTTCATTTTTAACAACATAAGGTTACCTCAACTAGATGGTTTGATCATGAAGTTTTCATTGTTGTTCTGGTCAGCAGTATTATCATCAACACTTGGAGTTCAACACCAGCGGAAGTATTCATCTAAATGAAACAAAATATTATTATATAACAGTTGAATCTAGCTACAAAAAATCACAAGTAGTTTTCATCAAATCATATAACCATTGAAAACAATAAGAAGCTGGATAAACTACGCAAATTTTCTATTCATGAAAAGTACATTATTAGACTTGAGATTTTAACTTTAATACATCATTCAAAAAGATAGTAATATAATAGACAGGAAACCAGAAACAGGGCATACAAAAAATAATTGTATTGTTGCCAGTGTGAAAGAGATTTCTTTGTTTTAGCATCCCTTACGTTTTAATATTACAGTAAGTATGCATAAATCTTTTCACTCTTTTCTATGCTTTACTACCAATAATATTTAGTAAAAAAAAACGTAGCAATCCTCAATGTACTTCTATCATATCATGAGTACTTTGCTAGGAAATTGCAATTATGGTTGTAGGTGCTTTTTCAATACTCCAATACTAAGTGATGTAGAGAATAAATGAACAGTTAACTTAATACATATTCACCATCAAAAAGACAATGATTTTTCTCAGTATATCATTACCTTTTGATAATAATTAATACATGAGGTTAATAAGCTTTAGTAGTCAATGTAAAAGAATGCTAAAATGAATTAGAACTTCATTATAAAATATCAGTGATCATCTAAATAGGGCATTATTGATCAGTAAATCGTTTTTCTCGAGATTCTTGGAAAAATGGACACTTATTAGGTGTTGAATCAAATGTATATATATTCAACTCTCATACAGTAACTGCGGCTTAGCTTATTAACATCCACTTGCTCTCTGATATTTACATTAACAGGACTTATCATATTCGAATAAATATTCATTCCAGTCAGATATAATCAGTCATTAAGGAGTTAGATTTGAAGATTTGGCCGCTTAAGATAAATACAGAGACAAATCATTCGTCTTAACAGGTGTTACGTGTCTTATGGACTGCTTTATTTTCTATTCTTCGCTAGTAATCAAGTCTTTAGTCATGAAAGTACATATTCTATTCTATACAAATACTTTTGTAGCAGGAGAATAGTTTGTCAATCTGATAATAATTTTTTATCATTCATAAAATTTGATTTGAAGTTCTTAAGATAAAAATCTTTATTTACTAGATAACTGTTAGTTAGTTCTTATCACTGAGACTATACAGTAAACGTAGCTGTATATCATACTGTTATGTGTTAACGTCATTATCGTAAACAAATTAATTATTTAAAAAGTGTAGAATTATAGATCGGTCACCACTGTGGTATACTAGTTTTTTGGTGAGACTATAATTTATGGATGATCTTTGAGCGACGTCTTAGTGACCTTGAGAGTATCCACAACTTGGACCAAACGAAGGTTATAAGCCAGTGTGAAGAATTAGAATTATGAATTTCGCGCCAAAATCAAAAACCTTCTATCTTATACCTGATTGCTTCGTCCATAAATTATAATCTCGCCGTTTTTTTAAAAATACCGATCGTACTCTATAGTCATAATATAACATCAAGTTGGTTTATGATAAATAATCATAAGTTTTTATATTTTTTGTAGAGAATATTTTTATTCTAACTTTTTCATCAAAAATATTCATCACTTTTATCTCTTCATTTCGGATGATAAAGCAATTGATTTCTTCTACGTCATGGGATGAACGTGAGGAACGATGAGCATTTTTATCCGTTACGTATTATTTTAATGGAGTAGCTTAGAAAATAGTTCAAGCACTACAATCTAAGCGTTTTTCTACAACCAATATGCTTGTAATGTAGCAATTTTTCAGCCTGTTGTTTATTATTATTTGAGTTGGGGGGTTTTTTTTGTTATAAAAATTAACTTTTACTTCTTATAAATTTTAGGTTACTCGTTATCAGTCGTCAGTACGAAATATGACTGGTTTCTCATTGTTTGTGAATAACAATAGTAATAACACTTTGAAATCTGTATTTTTTAATCATCATAATAATACAAAAACAACAACAACAACAACTTCTACCATTGTATCATCATTCAGACATCAATAAAAAAAAATGATATTCATCAAATTTTGTGATTGCAATATATTTACCTCCCTTGTATTAATTAATATTATGTCTTTTGTATTAACAGTTTATCATTATATTCAATGTTATATTCCTTTTACAAGTTATTTTCTAATCATAAAACAATCAAGATATGTTATCTATAACGAAATGATACAACAAATGTTTCATTCGTTCGCATTCATGATGATAATATTTTCTATTGAATTACTTTCTATGCTGTAAGTTCATAGAGATTATCAAATATTTTTTTTAGTAGATTATGTTACCTTTTTATGTTAATGAAGTATAATTGGGGTCTTTTAGGATAAGACAAACTTCTTCAAGGTGATAAATGATGTTTTAGTCCGGCAAGACTGTTCTTTTTGTTTAGTTATTTTCTAAAAGTTACAATCTTGATATTTATCAGTTTAATCCTCTCTTAGTCAAATGGTTGAATAGAATAACTCGTTACTCATCTAAACAATATTCTTTGATTAAGCTTCATATATGCCGAGATAATAAACTTTCTACACTCGTGTTTTTGTATATTCGTCATTGATTGATGTAAACTTGAAAAGCATTTTAAATCACTAAATTTTGGCATAAAAGGCTACATGTAACCGTCCACATCAGTTTATTAATTTTCAAATACCTAGTACATACAATACACTTCAAAGTTATATGATTATAATGGCAGACGGATTGAAAGAAATTTATCGATCTCATCAATGCACATAAAGGTCATTCAAAACGTTTCATCGATTGAAAATTTAGTGTTGCACGTTGGTTTATTTACTTCCGATAATGTAATCGTCCAAGTAGGTCGCAAATGTATATATAAGTAAGAGAATTCACTAGTTGTCTGCTCGATATATTTCATCACTAAATGACAATAGCTTAGAAAACTTGGAGAAATAATTCAGTGTAACATAGTTGTTTAGCTGAGTAAAGCGTACGGTATAGATTATATTTGATTAGTTCCTTTTCTGTATCATTTTTTATGGTAACAAAGAATTGCTGATACCAATGGTATAACACTATCATTTTTACATCCTTCAGTCTTGTTTTTAAATAAAATTGCTGTTTGTTAACCACCTAGAAAATCTCGTAACTTAACTATTCATTTACCATTAACCATCAGGTTTGCGAGAGGAAAATAAAAATCTACTACTATAATCTAATTTGTGTTGCCCATTGGAGAGTATCTAGTTTTTTTTAAACCAGAAAACAACATAGCTCACTGTCACGCTGTGATAAGTGATCGTTTAAAGTAGGTGACATGTATGCAACCACAGATATTCTCCAAATAGTTTGTTTATCAAGAGACTACTGAATAATCAATGTTAAAACTAGTGTTTTTTCAAGTGAGTTTATTCGTATCGATAGTGAAGGATTGCAAACAGTAGCTTGCTTAGTTTTAGAAAGTCGGTGAATAAAATCAATTTATTTCGCAAAATTGATACGCCTTACTATAAGTGTGTTCAATCTTCCTAGAGCCTTTTGATTTCTCCGATAAATCTTTTTTTTTGGTTGATGTACTGGTCTACTTGGATTGTAACCAGTCCTAGTTTAACTGTTTTCACGTTTAACATGCTCATTTCTGCCTTACTTGAATCTTCTTTTCAGAGAAATATTCATTGGATTGAAAAAAGAAATAAATACTGAGCACAAAAGAGATATCCAAAATGAAATATTCTTATTTCCTAAACTTGACACTATTCATCATCACTAATATGACTTATCTTTTGACAATATATATATACCCTACCTTCATAAATCGATTAGTTCTTTCTACTAGTTTTATTGTTATAAATCTTTGTAAAATAGACTCTTACTTGTGTTAATCATAATCGCAGCAATAATTAACATTTTTATTATCATTGTTGTTGTTGTTATGTAACATTGAAAGATATCTATTGTTACCATTTTTGCTTGAGGGTGGAGAGATTCTTCCATTTACTTCCAACATTCAGTTTATTGTGCAGTTCTATTGATTTGTTATTATATTTTGCTGACATTGCTTCAGAATTATTTTTTTAAACTCTTGTTTAATGCCAATTTGTTTTTAGATATCTCATAGGCATTTACTATCATCATCATCATCACTGTCATAATCATTATTATATCGTCATTTATTTAACACATCGTTTTTCTGTTTGTTTATTTGTCACATTGTAATTTCTCTTTTTTTTGTTTTGTTTTATCTCTGTGAGTTGAAATCTATTTGAACAATGTAGTGTCAATGGTAATTATATATTTGTAATTTTTATCCCAGGTAATTCTCTCCATATACAATGTAAAGATACCTTTCTTTTCCCTTGTTTTCTTTGTTCATTATTTCTAGTCATTGTATATCAGTATCGTTATCATTATTATCATCATCATCATCGACACTGTTTATTTGTCTTTTATAAATAAATAATGAAATTATTTGAAAAATTATTGTAAACTACCAATCACCCTTTTTTTCTGTTTTATTTATTTTCATCTCTCTTTTGTTGTTGGTCGCTAACATACAACAAAATAGAGCTAAGAAAACTATGTCGTTTAATTTCTAAAGTAATAGAAGTTTCGAACCAATTAATTAAAACTAATGACCAGTATTTTATCGCGTTGACCATGTTTTTACGTAATTCGATGTTTACCGCCAAGCAGTTTATAAATTTTCAGTGTCCATTTAATAACACATTTTCAAGAAAATGAAAACTAGTTAAGCAATATGATGTTATTAAGAGTAGGATGTAAAAACGTACTAAATATATATTTTACGGACTTCAATTAAATGATATGACTAAACGATCTTTTCTCCTATTTGGTGACAGCACGCAATAGTTTGAAATTACGGGTCAAATACGTAGAAAACACTAAATGTATAAAATATATTTGGAAAAATGACGGGTTAAGGTATAAATAATTGCAACATTTCTCCCAGCAACCTGGTTCAAATCTTAAGGAAATTTTGGGAATTTCTATTTGTCGTGATTTGAAATGGATACTGTGGGAGGGAAACCACTGTGAGGAATATGCCATTCATTATATGTTAATACAGGCCAATAACTGTGAACAAGTATTGGTCAAAAATGGAATAACAATGCCCTAAGCAACTCTTATGTTATGAAGTCTAAGTATTAACAAATAACCTATGGGGTGTATCTCTCATTTGTTTCGCTCCAACGACGACTAACGTATGAGCGTCAATCAGCGGAACTTCGATACAATTAAGCATGGCTCAGTAGTTTTAGTGCACATACAGTACTTGCAAACGTCAAACTAAGTTAGAGATATCCTCCATCTCAGTATCATGTACATAATTTACGAAAGTAATTGTCAGCAATACGATTAGTGTGATGTTAATTTGAATTACGAGGTGATATCAACTGTAAAGCCCATTGAGAATCAAGAAGTATCATACAGCCGTCTGAGTACATGAATTGTTAATGAGTCACGAATTGAAACGCAACAGCTGTCTGTCATATTGCCATTTGAGCGTGAGAATATGTCATTACAAACAATTCACACATTTTTGTTATAATAAATTTGATCTAGTATTGTTTTTAAACAAAACTCGATTTAAGACAATGTATAAATAAGTTATATTTAAATGTAACACAAATATTCTTTTATTAGAAAGAAAAAGCAAGTTTTTAGTCGGGAGTTAAAGATGTCATTTTTAATTTATTAATTTCTCTAGCGACTTTATGAGCAACCGGCGGTCCCTGATAAACAAAACTTGTATATAACTGTACTAAGCTAGCACCGGCATTCAACTTGGACAATGCATCTTCACCGCAGCTGATACCACCAACACCGATCAGGGGTATAGCACCTTTGGTTAATGCAGAAACTTTCCTTAAACAATCTGTTGATTTTTCAAATAATGGTCGACCGCTTAAGCCACCGTACACAACATTTTGTTCATTGTTCCCTGGTATTGGAGCAGCACCGCAAGCTACAGCCTCTTCATAAGTTGCAAGTGTTGTGTTTGAAATGATCATTCCATCTATTCGAGTCTATAAATTGAAGAGAGGTATACTGTTAACTATGGATGAATTAAATGATATGGAAACAACCTAAGTCATTATTAGGAGGTTTATGTACTCGCTTTTGAGTCATAATTTGGGGCTACTATCTGAATGTTTATACAAAAGTAGACAAGGAGCATGGTTCGAACCAGCACGCAACTCAATGGTTTACAATTACTAAATATCAATGGTAAATTCCTCTACAATCGATTTATAAGACGATTTTAGTTTATTAACCTTCCGTTAGATTTATGCTCATCATGTTTTGCATACATTAATTGTTTGAAATCATTTACACAGATTGTTCCTGGAAAAAGAGTTGTTAAAGCACACCCATTAAAAAGAAATTGAGTAAAAGACAATAAATGCGGAAATTAAATTATTCTCATCATTTTATCCATCATCCAGGAAATTGTTACTAACAAGACAGATTTTCAATCCAACCACAACACATACTAAATCATGAATATGGCAAAAAAGATTAACCGAAGATTTTAAAATAACTGAGGCGGGCAATAATAAGTCCTTCGTGGTTTTCTAAACTCAGTTCGCAATCACTCGGCTAAATTTTGACAAATGATACGGTGATTTTAGATTTCTGGATTTATTTTTCATAAATAACAATAGAAATAAGTGTTTTTGGAGGTCCTACGCTCTCTGTAATGGACGGTTTAATTGTATTTACAGAAAGATAAAGAATCGATTCATTTTTACCATTGCAGTCAATTCTGATTCATGTTTTATAGTTTTTTTTAACAACAGAACAAACATACAACACGAACCCTAATTAGAAAGTTTGCATTTCTCTACACAGATCAAATCGAAAATCAGTGAATTCATAAACTTATGCCGAATTCCAGATTCATTATATTTACCTATTTTCCAATCTACCATAACCCAAACTAACATAACTCGTGAAGAAGAGCAATGATTGATCATTATTCAGATTCATAACCGTTATAAATAACTTTGAGTTTGATGACCACGAATTATCTATGAATTAATCACGTAACTATAAAGGTAGTAAGAGATACATATTGAATGTTTTGAAGAGTACTTTGGGGTGGAAGTGATTGAGAGGGTTTACTTTGAATTCCATTAACCATTAAATAATAATAGTAATGACCATGTGTGATTGTATGCATATTGTATAATGGTCAATGATACTAACCAATAGATCTGAATAAAAAGGCGAGTTCACGTTTTCTCTAACTCGACATAACATTTCATGACATTAGTTTTATTTGCAGTGTAATATCCTAGTCGGTATGATAGTCACGTCATCTCTTCCAGTGTAGCATTATTTCTGGTTAATATGTTTGTATTAGTGTGATAAGTGTGAAATTTTGCCCAATATGACAGTTATATTCTTTGTATTACCGTCAGTTAACTTTTTCTGTATTTCGTAGTAACTCTGTATCGTTTCATTCATATAACGTTTATCGACTAATCAACAAGCGAATGGTAAAATCAGTATGTAAATGAGTGTATCTGGTTTAACGACAACAGTTTCGGACAATCTGTTTAAGGGTCTCGTTTTAGAGAGTCCATAAGCCTTCATCTGTACCAGTTTTTGTGTTTTCGCTTCACATTATGGAAATTACAGTGGTTCCCAACTGTCAAGTATAGGCAGGAAGACCCCAGACACATCAGAAACTATACAAACATAACACTAACCGTTAAATTAAAAGTAGCTTTGATGAACGGTTTATTGACTGAAAATATGGTATCAGTATAGGCTTGTGGAGATTATTAAGTTTTTAATTGAGATCTTGAACCGATTGATGTTAAACCACCATTGAAAACCTTAAAGCACTGGACGGCCTTTTGATCCTATTGTGCGACTCCTCGACAGTGCACATCCACGATCCCGCTTGCGGGATTCGAACTTAGGCCCTTCAGTCTCGCGCGCACTGCTGAGGAGCCCCACAATAGGATGAAACAGCAGTCTAGTGCTTCCAGGTTTGCAACGTTGGTCTAACACCAATCGGTTCAAGATCTCAATGAAAGTTAAGTACCTAAACTATTGAATTAAAACTTCCCCGTTAACTTTTAAAAAAGTTCATACAAATTTATATGTAGTAGTGGAAATAAAATATGATTGTTCATTGAGCGTGAAGTAATAGGCATTTAGTCCAATTAAATATCAAATATATGATTTCCCTTCCTTTCATTAATATTTACTCTGGATTGGCTGACAATGACTGTTTGTAATTGTATTGAATAAAGTGTTAATCTACTTCTTTATTCTATATACAGCCTCTGCCAGGAAAGTCCTACTCACTGCCTTCTCGAACCACGAGTGTTGTTTATGAAAATAAGAGGAGGAAAAGCGAATGTCCAGCGCTTTAACCGGATCCTAAACAAATGGTGCACATAGGCTCCAGTATCCTGCGAGAACAAATGGTGTATGGTGTGGCCCCCCAAGAAAACCACCTGTTTCGGTCTGGGCACCCGGCCAGTATCACAGCTCACACACACACACACACACAAATATGGTGTAGTGCATATATATTAGGTGCCCTCTTGTAGCAATATTTATGTGTTCAAATAAAATAAAATAAAATTCTTTATTCTGAGTCATAAATCCTGATTCCGGTATAATGTGACTAGTTTTATTATCGTATTAACGTCTTATCGTAATATACTACAGAGAGAGAGGAGGAGAAAGAGAGAGAGAGAAAATATTTTAAACAATCCATTATATCATAAATATTCCATGGAACTTAAATAATAAATTACATATTGTATATAAATGAATTTGTTTATTAGTTTCTAATGGAATGGAAACCTTTTGTTGTTTTTTTTTTGAAAAACAAAAAAAGTGTTAATACATTGTAATTAGACAAGTTTTTCACCACCATAAGTTTATATAAACATTTTTCATAATTCTCAGTGTATTATATTGATGATAATTTGAATGGAAAATGTTTAGTATCATTTACCTGGACTTATAATTTATAGTTTTATCATCATTGAATCTCTTAAACTATTTCATTATATCACCCTAAATATTAGAATATTAGAATTAGAATTAAAAACAAGTGAATATTCTTACTTTCGAATCCAAAGCAACATCTACTATATCTTTTAAACTTTGATCATTTTCATCTGGAGAAATTTTTAATAAAATAGGAGTTTTTTTCAATAATTGATTTCGAGCTGTTAAAACCTATGAAAAGATCATTGGTTTGTTTTATTAAGTAACATATTCAAAATATTAAGTAGCATAACTATTGAATAAATCTGGTTATAATAACAGAAACTTTTTATTAAAAAAAACCGATACTATTTTATTTACAGAAGGGGTTTTGTGGAGATTTTTTTTAGAAATATCACTGGTTGAAATCATGAGTCAATTAAAGCTAGACCACCATGGGAAACCTGGAAGCACTGGACGGCCGTTTCGTCCTTGTATGGGACTCCTCAGCCATGCGCATACACGACCTCGCCTCCTGCGAGATTCAAACCCAGAACCTACTGGTTTCGCGCGCGAGCAATTAACCACTAGACCACTGAGTCGACAGGCATCCAACCGTGTTAATGTCTAACTTCAACCAATCCACGAAGTTGCGTTACCGTACACCATTGTCTTTAGTGAGTTGATATCTCACAACCGACTATTTTATTTACTAATGAAGGTATTGAGTAGTATAGAATAACACTATGAATATCTAAATGTGTAAAATTATTCGGAGCGATATAATCAAACAAATGTAATTAGAACAAGAAGTACAGAAAACTGATGGGAAAAATAAGATTTTTCCTTATGAAAAAAAGTGTATTGAACAATAATGATAACCAAATTGATAGGATTATCATTTTAATATTTCATATACAAAGTCATTCAATGTTTATAAATCAATAAAATATAGTTGACTGATAAAATTACAGTTATGTAAAGTATAAATGAATCTATATAGTCGAGATGAATATCAACTGAAATTCTAAAGCATCGACAATTTCATTCGGTTAAACAGAAATAATCAACTAGTGACCATCCCTATAAAGAGCTTCATAATACTAGGCCTAAATAAGTAGAGTAAGAAATTCGGTTGAATAATAAAAAATCAACACGTTTTTTTTTATTTATGTGACAGTGTCAAATACATTTTAATGACAAATAAGAAGAATTGAAACGAACTAATGAACTGGGAACATGTATACTTTAATTAATTTTCAATATGGTATTCCTTTCGATGAACACTGTAAAATAAAGTTAATTACTTGTTTTCTTACAATGTATTAAAACTTGACATGATGGGCTACTGACGAATGCATTACATTGCAAAAGGTTCGTTTGGCTTTTGCCAACTTACGTCACCTATGGCGAAGGCAAGATATCCGTATATCGATTAAAGGACGAGTATACCCATCTTCTGCCGCCAGACAATACATTTCTGACTCGCGTCATATACTACTTATATCAATATAAGTAGCACGCAACACAGTGTCAGTCCATAAAGTCACTAACTCCTGTCCTGAGCCACGTTGGTAGATGCAACCGACTTGGTTGGGGTCCGCGCGACTATCGTAACCAATGGTTGGAGACTCTGAGTGACATGGTTCAGAGTCGATCACAATGGCGTAGGTGTATGTACTCTTTCTCTTCCCTTAAACCGTGGGAATAAAATTGCTTCATACCTTTATTTGTACGAACTAATTCTTTCTCCCTGTATCATATTTTTATATTCGATCTTTCTTTTATATATTACTACCATTGAAGTAACTACTTCTATGAATTTGGTGTTCGTCTTATTGTGCTAATGAGGCGCGGCAACTTGGGCAGATAAATATATGTGCTTGGTTCTAACTTTGTAGATGACTAACCGACCAACATTACAAAAAAAAACAAAATTTCCTGTGATTAAATGATAAACAAGCTGTATCACTACCAGAAGAATAAACTGTGTGAGCATACAGTTTAACAGCATCAATAATAAATATTTTGTTTTCCACAAAAGTGAAGCTTACTCATCACAAGGAGCAAAGCAAGACGTTCTCGCAGCATTACCGTTGAGATTACTCTAAGTTACTGAGTTATTTGACTTTCAAAGATTCAGTCTGAATGTCATCAGCAAACAAAGCTTGAATTTTATGGAAATTTGGGCTAAACATTTATACCAAATAACAATCTTCGTATTCGGTATGTGCTAAACTTACTTTAGATAAGAGATCGCGCAATTTTTCTCTATTCTGTAGGGAGCGTAGTCCTGGAGTATTTGGACTAGATACATTGATTACTAAATAGTCAGCTACTTCGCCAAACTTCCGAACACCTGCCACATAATCAGCAGTTGGATCTGTACTTGTTTTATTGCAGCCTAAATTGACACCAATTACACCACGGCCTAAAACAGGTTAAATTGAGAAAATGTTATATATATAAACATAATTAGCTTCTTTACTAGTTACCACATATACACATCTACTTGATTAAGTCAAACATTCACGTGAATGTTCATATATTGTGTGCGAAGCACTGGGACCACATGGATAGACAGAACTTTATAAATCAAGCAGACCGTTAAAACAGTTTACAAAATAAGTCAGCATATATACATGATTAACATGTATACTGCAAACTTTAAACAATCATTTAACTTGAATTTACGAACAAATCTAAAAGAGTAGGAGTAGAAAATCAATTTAATGAAAACTTTCTGTGAATGATAAATACAATGACAAAAATATGAAGGAATATCTAAATTTAGTAAAATCAGTATACTTACAATTAGCCTACCTTCCCATGGACGATTTTTGAGTCTTTCATATACAGCATCATGTCCATCACTGTTAAACCCACATCTGAAATGATAACAGAATGGAAAATGAATGAATGCGACTAGTAACACTTAGGAAAATACAATACAGATAATATAACTTGATTCGATTGTCGCAACAGGCAAATCAGTTGAGTGCGTGAAAGTATTTGAGATGGTAAAAATACGCCGATCAGTGGGTTAGTGTTTGACTATGAAATATTAACTAGGGGGTTAGAAACCCGCCCGATCCATTATGCTTGAGGTAATCAATTAGCAAAATTGATATACACGACAGGTGTATCTCAAAGTCAATCCATAAACACTTAAACGGTACGTCTTATATTAAATGTAAAAGACTCCAGTATTAACAGCATGCTATATAACGTACCAAATGATCACACAATATGAGATTTGGGATTAAAAGACTAACTCTACAATATATCTTCATTGGTAGAGTTCCGAACAACTAAGACCCAAGAAACAAATTCTAAATCGTGCAGAACTAACGGCCGTCTTATTTCGTTACCATACGTATTTATGCTAAGAATGAAGTATCCGCTCTATGTCGAAAGGATAGGTACAATTTATATTTTCGTCCCAACCTAAAGAGATAATTTATCCCAAATACCGGCAGTTTCGGCTCAAACTAGTCAAAGCATCTGAGTTTCCGAGTCTCTAAGACCACCACTAATTCGGTTTCCTTCCCAAGTCTCTCAAGGACAAATATGCTTTCGTAATGTGAACGCTCGAAAAGCAGTGACTGCTCCCATACTTCTAACAACACGCGAGATCGTCTCATTCATAATCGAACACCATTATTAACAAATATCACCTTTACTTCTATTATCAACACTCATCTTATGTATTTGACTTCTTTAACGTGCTACCAATGCTAACAGTCTGTATTCACAATATGCCATCTCAGGCCTCTTCAGATCGCGTTTTAAACTGTGTTAGAGCTTATAACGTCCGAGCACTATCACGAATTGAACAACAGGTGTTGCAAACTAAGACCTTATAATCTCATCCCATAGATGTATTCTGTGTGTCCAAAACACGGGCACAGAATCCTAACATGAGGACCTACTCGACTATTTCTAGACAATATGGATAGAAAACTCATTAAGCCTTTTGTGTATCCTGAGAATCAACAACAACTCCTCGTGGTCTTGCAGATGTAGGTAAAGCAATAAGTTAGAAAGCTGGAAAGGCATTTATTGACTAGATTCCTACAGCGAGTTGCTTGTATGTTGTCCCACTAAATGCGACATGTTGCTTTAGGAATGTTCTGCTTCAACAGCTGAATCGGTGACAGCATTTTTTGAAGGATACCTTGGTAATTACGGATCCATGATAATTCCATCCTACAAGTGCTCTTCGTGCTTCTCTGGAAGGGATTAGTGCAATTACTTGTGTATACAACAGCACTTCTCCCGAAGTTAATCTCTTCTGTCCATCTTGGGTTCAATGCGTTTCACTTATTTTGAGAACCACCAAGTTCTATCCCCTCATTTTCGCGCCTATTTGTTTGATGCTCACGGTCTCCTACATTGTTCGAACATTCCATTTACCTATAATAATTGTTACTCTGGTTATGAAAAGGTCAACGGTCTCATGATTTCCGAAGAATCTCGGCTTTCATCATGAGGCGTCATAACTATTATAAATGGAGACTGAGATTTCTAGGGCAGAGTTTAAGTCGTTTAAATGATTTTTTCTGGTCAGCGTTTTTTTAGCAATGTTATTTTCTACGGGATGGAGTTGGTAACTTTATGCTCAACCCTGCTCCTTTATTCGGGCTTGGGACTAGCAGTAACCCTAGGAGGGTTACAGGCGGAATCGAAATATTCGTCTTCCAATCAAAGATCATCTGTAGTGTCTGACAGTCTGCTCAATTGTACTTTATGGAAGTAGAAGACAAATGTTAGCCAAAAGTTTAGGATTGTAGGTGTCTTTGGAACATTGCTGGCGTTTTATGAGACAACCGAGTGGGCAAAGTTGAGGTTAAACATAGATTATTTGGCAAGTGATGAGGTTGGAAATCATTGATTGAAACGGTTAGGATATATGTTGCGTAAAGCCGACTATTGCCTACCTTGATAAGCGATGCTTAGTAGTGCAGAAGTAGGTTGAAAGACAACTGAGGGGGGATAAACCAAAACATGGAATCAATCCATGAATTAATTGAGCTTTGGTTTGGACCATGTTGGTAAATGCAGACTACCTGTTTGGAGTCCACATTTCAACTGTAAACTGTGGTTGAAGACTGGTACGGCCGAGGGTGGGGAAGGTTATCTCTCCCTCTCGAAATGCTCTCACATGACTACGCGTATACAGCCACTGCCAGGGAAGTACTACTCACTGCCTTCTTGCGGTGGTGGTATTTATTTATTATTTAAACACAAATATTGGCACAAGGAAGCACCAAACAGATATGCGCCACACAAATCAAATGGTTTATGTGACGGCTGGAATACTGCCAGGGTGCCCAAACCGAAACAGGTGGTTTTCTTAGGGGGCCACTCCCTGAGTTTTTGACCTAAAGATCTAATCCACAGGGCAGTGGAGCAACGTCAGAAGATGCAGTCTCATGGTAACCGTTAACCAACGACCGGTTTATACTCCACTTGTTCCCTTAGGATGTTGGGGGCCATGTACACGATTGGTTTGGAATCAGGGTTTTCCAACTTTCCTCGGTGGACCCTTCATATTCACTAACCCGGTTAAAGCGCTGGATAGAAGTAGTATGAGTCGGAGTCGTGAATATATTAGCGTAGTCAGCATCACTTTTCAAACCATAGTTCCAAGAATTAGTCTTCTATTTTATCATTTTTGCCACATTATATTGATCTCTTCAGTTATTATTATCTTGCCATGCTAATTTGGTATGGCTATAAGCCGACGCACATCTGTAAGAGGTTCTAAGTTGATGATGTCCGTTTGTTTATGAAAGCTTAACTGTAAGAAGTATGGACGGTGAGTTTACAAAGGTGTAGGGACTGAGTGAGACAAATAGAATAATGCCAACTGAACAATAAAACAAAGATCAATACTTACAATAATATCACTTCAGTTCGTATGTACATAAGTTATCCATAAATATCATTATTTCCTTAATATAACTTTCCATTTAGAGTTGTTCATTAAAACAGACTGAGTAAATTACACTTTAGATATGATTGTTATGGGCTACTGAAAGATTCAAACAGTTACTTTACAAGGTAGAAAGTTATCCTTACCGGTTTATTACCGCTTGTTTCTTGGTCCATCTGAATATACGAGGACGTGCGTTACCTGGCTGAGGATCAGGGGTGACAGTCCCAACTTCAATATGTGAAAATCCTGCATTTAAGAGACCCATAAATGCTTCTCCATTTTTATCAAAACCTGCAGCTAATCCAATGGGATGGTCGAATTCGAGTCCAAAAACTTTACATTTGAGCTGAGGGAATGAATTTCGAGGTTTATGTGGTATAAAACCATGACTTGCTAAGTAAACTGACAAATTGTGGGCAGTTTCACCATCACGGACTAAGAGACGGGCAGTAGGTAAAAACCAATCCTTATAGAAGTGCTCATTTCCAGAATACAAAGCTTCTGCAGTGAACAGTCCAAATCCAAGACTTAAAACTCCAAGAGATGTCCTAATCCTACTCATTATTGATAATAAACCTAAATAGTGAAATAATTTTTAAAGGGATTTATTAGTTGAGTCATTATTAAAATAGCGATTGGTTCCCTGTGATGCGTAAATCAACTGCCAGTATTTATTTGAACTGAGACAAAAGAAAAATCTTTGCTCAAATGTTATTGGGAAGACTTTTCTGCAAAGACTAAATTCGATTGATATCTAACCTCATACCCTAACCACCCAATAGCTCTGAAGTCATCAACCTTGTTGGATCAGTCGGCACAAAAATACGTAATTTAGAATAATCACACATGAATAAAAGCAAAGACAATTAAGGCAAACCTCTTCGTATTTGTAACAATAAGGTTATGGGATGTCTTGAGAAAGTATGCAGTTGATGACACGGAAATGAAAACTGAGATTAAAAAACGAAATTCAAGTTTTCCGAAATGAATGACACTAAGCAAATTGATTAACCGAAGTTTTAGAACAGTGACTGAAGGTAATAGCCCAGAGAATTCCTTATAGTTTCCAATTACAACAAGTAGTGCATAGTGGCACTCAATAATGGAAAGGGACTACTGAGCAATAAGCTCTTGGATTTAGATTTATTGAATAAATTATTCCGCAAAAGGTTATAGTTAAATATGACTATGGTGAATGGCCGCCATTTGGAATGACAACTGAATGTCCAGGGTGGAAGTTTATTGTTCTTAAGAATCACGGTTAAAGTATTATCAAAGGTGAAGCCGAACTTCCTAATATTTTCGTCTACAAGTCCTCTAATCAATAAATGGTCAGAATACCATGTGAAACAGGCAAAATTTAATTATTTGATCTACTTACATATTTATGGCTCGGGTTATCGAAATCCTAGTAGTCACGTCTAAAAATTGAGGATGGAATAAAATTGTTATGCCGTAAAATTTCGAGCCAACTTTATAATCCAGTGTTGCAGTATTATGGCTAGTTTAAAATGCGCAAAAAAAATTTAAATGACTTTCTTCTGAGACAGGCTTATACCAGAACTTGGTAGCCTTCTCAGTAAGAGGAATGAGGATATTCCTGAAGATATTTCGTCCCGTAAGACGCAGGAAGGGAACGAACACGCGAACTTAAAATGTTAATCAGAGTTGAAGTGAAAATACCCTGTTATGTAAATGGTTTTCAAATAGCCTTAATATGGTGATTGGCTATCTGGAGAACTCGCCTATATAAAGAGAAATACTTATGTGGGGTCGGATCACAGCTTTTGCAATAAGTACTGATATCTGAGGAATCGCAGCTTCTAAATGAGTCATTAGGTAACGTACTTTTCGAAAATTGAAGGAGTCAACTAATAAGGTACCAACGGTAGGGTTTGCGAACTCATGAGTTCATGCTCAAACTTAATATGGTCGTTAAATAGATAATTTTATATATTGGAAAAAATGAAGTCACTATTTTTTAAAAATATTTTTAACACAAAGTAAGCACATCAGGGACTCACTCAGTGCAATCCGAAAACGTCACCACTTTGACCTTGACGTAACGCACTTGCATAAAATTAACGGCTTTTTTCAAATCCAAATATTGAGAACAAAGAGCCTAAAACTTGTGTTAGTCTGTTTCTAGTAGGTTTTAAAAGTGTTCATCTGTAATCAGATCATCTAAATCCTCCTGAAGTGCACAACTATAGGCGTTTTTCGTTATTCATCATAGTATGTCGGATTAAATTATACTTGGGTGTTCACTTACACACATTATAAAAATTAAAGGACGTAGGACACCCTTGGTGTGCTGGTTTCTAAGAGGATCACTTGGAATTTATCCTTACTTTCTGTATACGACCTACCAAGCAATCCTTGATCCATTGTAGAAGAGATCAGCAATTTCTAGATTTTCCAGTTGCTGGAGAAGTCTATTATTCATCAACCCACCATGCGTTTTGCTGATATCTGTGTAGATAGCATCCATTGATTCTCATTACTGAATCTGAATGGACAACATTAGTTCAATTCTGAAAATAATTCCAACATCCTGTTGACAATTACCACTACAGCTCACATAGCGTTTAATAACCTGGAGAGATTACGTGCAATGATCAGTTGCTTTTCAAGTTTTCCCTAAAAGTTTGTATGTTTAAAAGCATACTTAAAATATGATGGTTTTCACACAAATTATGATGATGTCCATTTAAGAATTTAAACTGTTTTTTTGTTTTTGTATTAATAAAACTTACAGATATGACCAATATGTTATGAAACACAGAGGGTAGAGGTAAAAGCCATTAGATGCCAGGTTTTGTTACTCAAAGTAGTCATGTAGGTATCCTGAGAGTGTCGAGGTTTTTCTACCGGGTATCGTCTAACGTTGGGTATTGAATACCACAGGCGTTCTGTCAAGGTCGTTGACTATCTAGGTCTGCGTCGTAACTTTGCAAATTGTGTTGTCTCATTATTTGATGGTGAGGTTAACAGTGGATTATTATTTTAAGTAGTCAGCTTTCAGCCGTTCGGTGACAATGTTAACTTTATTTCTGCTCTTATCAGTGGTACTAGGGTTGATGATAAAGAACTTAGTAAAAAGCATAGCGAATCTGGTGTAATGGACCACGATTTGCAAAAGCGTATGTAATAAACCTCTGGGTGGGATAGACCAAGAAATCTGTTGACTGTAATCAGGGTGTAGGCAAGTTCAAGTGAACGTAAATATGTCGCAGATATTCAGGGCTTGAAAACGCCGTAGACTACGAGAAAATTATGATCACAGATCCCAAACCCAGTAAAAATAGAAATCAGAAGTGGAGGAGTTCGAAGATATACGTAGATGATAGTCGACGTGACAAGAAGTATATGGACTGGCCGAACCAGTTGTGAGTGATGTGTAGCAAGATATACCCAATAGCGACGTCATACGGATGCTTGGCCGACGGTTTTCAGCCATGGTGTTTCTAACGAAATCAGTGAGGTCAGAGTCAATACCAAAGACCTACATAACCATTTATTTTATTGATTTTCCCACAGTTGCATGTCGTATTTAATGCGTTTTTAAACTATGTATTAAATCATGAACATCCACTTAGTTATATAGAGTGCTTTGACGTTGTCAGCATCTCATTTATTAGTGAGCGGAGTCAGTCATGTGTAAAGCTCACTATAAGTGTAATGAATGTCCTCAAGTGTTATAGGTTACCCATGTAAGTATACTGTCATCGTCGGAGTATGGTTATTGAGTCTTTAAGTTTGACTATTACTTTGTTACAATATGTGAATAAACGGTAAAAATGTATTTATAATCTTATCTCCAATATGGACAATATGAACAAGGTGCAAATAAGTGTTCTAAGCCCTAGACTACTTCAAAATTCTGAAAATTATGCTCCTTAGGGTTCAGCCGTTTAAAAGACGATAATAACCAACAACTTCGCATAACGATGTGACAGGCATTGGAAGTGTCACAGATGGAGTACAAGAGAAAAAATGTATTTACAAATAAAATTAACTATACTCGATTAATAAGTTTCGAGTTGGTAAAGATATTTGACAAAAATCAAGTATCACGATAAAGGAAATATTAATATCAGTTAAACAGTTATACTTTAGCCAGATGAAGGGGATTGATCAGCTAAAATTACTACAGACATGAACAGTAAGTTAGAAAGCAACAATTAAGTAAGAAGTACTAATGGTTACTAGTTGACAATAACAAACTTTTCCAAAGCAAACAGGGAACATTATTCCAAATATTTAATTAATTAATTGTCCACAGAAAAAGTGATGGCTCTTTAAATCCCAAAATTCTACGTAATCCAAATAAACCTGAACAAGATGAATTACTAACTAAAAAAGCCATAAAAATCAAGGAGTTAGTCACGAACCAGAAATTGTCAACAATGTATTAACGGTAACAGTGTGCAAGCCATAATAAAAACAAACAAACGACAATAGAAACACTAGTAATAGAAACGATATGCACAAAAAAAAGAACAAAGAACCTGTTGTGGTGTAAACGTACACGGAGAAATTTACTCACATCTCGCACAGGGAGATCCCTAAACGGATTCTAAAAAATGTGAGTGACAGCTCTGAATACATGAAAGCAAATGTATTTTAGCTCGTATTTCACCACCACGATCACAAAGCTCATGTTTGATATTCGCCATTAGTGGAAATGTTAGACAGATTCGTAAGTCAGATGTGGTGGACGAGCGGAAATTAATTGTACATAGATGAGAATAACCCGTGTATTGATGTTGCATCGCGTCAACCTACGCTATACTATAAGCTTTTCCGATAGAAGTAAGCTTCTGCGTTTTCTTACCGCAAACAAGGGAAGGACTATCACCTAAAAAACTCATTCAATTTACCATTTGTAACTAATAGTGAGACTGGCTAAGATTAACTAATAAAGGCTAGGTATGTTACTATAATAAAGATTAGTTTGTAGTGTGGCGTCGAGTCGCGGTTGACTATGATTAACACTACAGGAAGACTACTTGCCAGTTAACAGATAAGATCTCCTGTAGTCAAATATCAGTGAGAAGTTGATGGCTGTAGTTGAGATGTATCGAAAGAATACCGAGTTCGTGACAGGTTACAAGTGTGTTCACTGAGTCTAACCGAATTCGTGCAAGGTCATAAGCAACGAAAGAACGAATGTCTTTAGTACAGCCAAACAAACAAGAAAAACAATCACTGGTACAAAGGGTTATAATAATAATTGTTTCCATTACCTCATATCTTTTATTCATATTAAATATATTGTTCTTTCTCTGGCCTAAGCTTGTTCTTCATCATGTATTGGTAGTTGTTACGATACAGTGAGTTAGTGTAGTCGATGGTGTGACTTCCACGTAAGATCTTATAGATTAGGCAGTTATATCATGACAAATCTACAAGTTTAGGATTAGGTCTATTATTAGAGCAGTACTAATATCATGGTAGACCATAGTTATACATTTGTAAGCCCGACTAAATAAACGCAACCTATTACTAATAATCCTTATTTCCACTTTAATCTTCTCGATCGATTTTATATTTATATTAACCCAGTATGCTCACATGTATTATCGTAATATTACATTGATTGTTAATCATAACATACTAACTCAATCGATACCAATAACCGGTTATCTATATCAATTAGCTTTGATGGTTCATTAACAAGCTTTAATAGCTTCTGCGGAATAAATTTGTTTAAACATCAAGCTCTATCTATAAATAACGTGAATATACACTGAATAACAATGCAATCAAGGACTAGATAGTTATCTGGATATAATTCTCAGTGTTCCTTCACCTAACACATCCTGTTTTAAACTATGCACTATCCTGTAATATCTTATGTTCCGATCACTACCTGTCTAATTTCATATTCTTCAGTTCCATTGCCAAACAACAAGGATGATACTAATCCAAAAACATACGGTGAATTTCAGCTATAAGTTTTCTGTAATCATAAAGTCATTTTAGATGGCTCATTCAATGGCAAAAAATTATCTGGATTCATTCAGTTGTTCTGATCAGAGCGAGTGGCAAAAACATCAACAGCATCAAGCACCCTGGAATTAATTGCCATACTGCATGTTTTATTCTGCATGCTTTTGGATCATTACTACTCATGAATGGCGTTATATATGTCGTCCACTGAATAATCTAATTTTCAAAAATAACCCAGGCAAGTTCAACTATTTTACTTAATGATTTTTTCTACTTAACATGTATATGTTTTCCAGTTGCTTTTGCCATATATTTGTAAGTGTCCGTAGGCTAAATGCAGTAACTTCTTATGGAATGTTTATAACGCGTCATATTCCTGCCTGAAGTTTCACAACCAGTCTTAACTTTAAATTTATTTATCTGGTCATGTTCATTATTTCTAAATTGTCATATACGTCAACAACCTGCATGTTATCCTGGCCCGTACATACGTTACACTATATCTTCATGTCTTCTAAATTGAGAAATCATCGTAATCGCCTTTAACATTTATCAATAAACCCATCATAGTCGTTGTTGCTAATCGTATTTGGGTTTATGGATTGATTTATCATATAAGCAGCCTAAAATGCGAACATAGTTTAGATAATAAGATTAAAAATTTAGGTACTATCAACTGCACTAGTAAAATAACTAAATCCTCAAGTATCTGTTGTCTAAACAAACGTTTAAAATCAAAACTCCATAGCCTACTAGAATTAACACTAAACTAATATTTCTAAATGGAAGTTTATAATTAAATTAGGCGTCTCAAATTCTTTAACGTTATAGATTTCTGATATTTTCGAATCACCTAAAGCAACAATACCTATTTTTCCACTGACTTATCCTCAATCAACACTATAACTCGTTAGACGTAATAGTTTCAGGATATCGTCGTAAAGCATTGTCATGACTTGACAATCACGTAATATGATTGATAAAATTAATGAAACTATTAACAAAATAGGTCAGCAAATTGACTTATAATTAACACTATTGTTGTTTTTTCTTTTATCTTCATTCACTACAGATGATTACAGTATGTTTCTCTATCAGTTGCTCATTCAGTAAATATCTCAAAACCTTGTCAGTCTA